TCAAATTCCCAACCACCAATATTCTGCCTTTCAAATGCCTTCTCATAAAACATCGAGGCACGCGGCAAAAGATTAAAAGCATAATGGACAAGCTAGAAAAAATGGGCATAGACCTCTGCAGGCCGGAATAGGGCACATACAATAAACACAATTGGCATAACGATTCTCAAAGCTTACTAAAGTAGCTAGGACAGCAATGTTATGTGTATCCGTAGTATGGAAATGTAACTGTTTTTAGTTATCCACGAGCCGACGTGTCGTTAAAGGCTATTAGCACAGTAATGAACAGTGCACATATAATACTGTAGATGTAACGTGGCATGTATTGAGCACACATCTGTTAAGCGTCTTACAACTGTGAAGTCTCTAGATGGTCGCAGGGCCAGGGTAATACCCGAGTAGTCATAGAAAGCCGTCCGGGTGCCCTGTCCTGCTATCACCTGTCACCTGGTGTGTAGGTGGAATACGCCATATTATAATTAAGTTTAGACCTTTCATTTGAGTAAAGTTCTTGGTAAGTAAGTGAGGAGCCAGTGAGCGTTTCATTCTTACTACCCTCCTTTGCAGTTTATCAGCGAGCTCATTACCACTAATATTACATGTGATGGCATCCACTGGAGGTGGACGTCGCGGGTCTTAGAGATCATCCTCCTTCCTCAGTTTGAGCAGAATAGATATGCTGGTTTCATCGCATGCGGACGACCAGCCACTAAGATGTTGTAGTGCACTACGGCTGTACTCCTTTTTATGGTTTTGTGCCATATCATTCTACCCTTTATGCCAATCATTCTACCCTTTATGCCAACCATTTTATTATTTGTGCTATATCATTTTACTCTATGTGCTATATAATTCTACTCGTTTTGACCATGTTCTGGAATATCAACTGGATGGATCGTCCAGCTGGATCTCCAGATCCAAGCCCTATAAACTATGCCTGTGTTTCTCTTGGGAGGGCAAATGCAACTTGTCTTACCCCTCCTGGAACTCTCCATGAATTTTAAACAGCGTTACGTTAGGAGTGGGATTGATTACCACTGGACTCATGAGCTGCCTTATTTCTGGTATGCCCTGTTGTTAGAACTGTGTATTTATTATAGGGAAAAATACCCCATAACCCTCGTTTTTTGTTCGATTTTGTATTCTCCATTTTTGATATTCCTGTTTCGATAAGCTTTAAACAGAATCAGGCATGAGTATGATGACTGTTGCAGAATATAAGTTTTTTTAAAGATATCAACCAATGTCCAAACCAAAGTTCATTAAATTCGCTTCACCTTCTTCTAGATATTGACCAAATTAAAAAAAAAATGTGAAAATTTGGGGATCTTTTTAATACTGAACACCAATATATTAAAAAAGTACTTTCTTACTTCTTAACCGTTTTAGAGAGATACTGTATCGTGGGAATGTCATCCTGCAGAATTGTTTCTAATAAAAATATTGTAATAATGTACTACGCGATAACATATAGAAAAACAGTTATAGATCTCTATACCAATAACTTACTATGCGATAACGTATAGAAAAACATGTAGATCTCTTTGTAGCTTATATTGTATTTATAGGGTCATTACGTCATACAGAATAAATGCCCAGAACTACCATAATAGCCCAAATATAAACAATATCTTTTTAATAATATGCCTTTTGAAAATTAAAAACCATCTTGAGCTGATATTAGACTAGACCATCTTTGCTCAGCTTGCGGCCTACGTGTGGATAGATGAGCTTATTTATGCGGCTCGAAAAAAAATTTCTTCAATGCTTTTGCAAGCCAAGATCAGGTGCTAACTGCGTTGTAATAAAATTTTAAAGTTCTCAAACATATGTTATAATTCATGCTTTATATCTCTTGCAAAGCTTTTACTTTGTGACAGTTATTAAAATACCGACTGGTGCCGAATGCACGATCGTGGATGCACAGTCATGTGCGCATTACCCGAACTAATCTTGCATTGCATGTGAGAAAGCCCATGTAATTATACTATAACGTCGATGTGTGGCATTTTGATTTTCGATTATTTTAATTTCAAGCGGATATTCTCAGAACTTTACTATCCATAACTGCAGGAACACCTTCAGAATACAAACGAGGTATAGTTTAAATCTTAAAGTGGTTTATTTCAAAATAAATAAATAGAAAGAGTTATGAAAAATGAACATGGTTACCTGTTAAATAAGCTAGTAACAGCTTGTTTGCTTTGCTTTTAGAGTGCGATGTTAAAAAATGCAACATTGTTCATTCCCGTATTGCGAGACATAAATCATTTATTGATCCTTTCTTCCCTGGAATTATAATGCTAAATAAGAAGATTAAAAAAATCAACTTCTTTCAGGAAAGCTTTGCAGCAACAATGAAACAAAATATCAATGGCGATTTGATAACTGTTCACAAGAGCACAATATGAAATTTGTTATATGATTAAAACCTGTCAAACCATGTATTGACTCGCAATTGTTGGGGAAAATATAGATTATTTGAAAGTTTCGGGAACAAAAATCAAATAATTGAGCAGATTGAAAGTATGAAATTCTCAGATTTTGTTTGCATTAATCGAACTTAATATATTACAAAACACGTTTTTGATCACATGATAGAACATTCGTGTCTTTGTTTCTAGTACCTACATTTCGGTAACATCGTTTTGTTCCGGTTTCGATAGTTCAACCGAGTTTAATTCATCAAGAATTTTTGAAATTTCTTCCCATAAAGAATCAAGTCAGAGAAGAAATTAGCTTGTGGTGTGTACACAGATGAATATTCTTCATTGCCGTAATCTGAAAAGGGATTTATTTCATTGTTAAAACAAAAATACATTTTAACAAATCTCTTATCATTTCAATAGATCATTCACCAAGAAAAAATTGGCAGCACTGTCTTGCAGCACATTGCTTGAAATGGATGCCATGATGAAAATTATAATAAATACACTGAATTTTATCTGTTTATGAGAACAGAGCTGTAGAAAGCATTAAAATTTGTTGGGTGAATTTGAAAGTAATTATAACGACTTTTATCGCCTACTTTGGCACTATGGTTAAGCAAAGGAAATGTTCTGGATCTGTTTTACTGTTTACGGATAGAAATTATTTTACAAGAAAGCAATAAATTGCATAGGAAACTTAAACCCTCTCAGCGATGCAGGGTTTTGGATCTGTCATGAAGACCTGTACTTAAGCAGCATTTATTGTCTAAATTTGTACGATTATATATTTTAGTCTCTAATTCCATAAACTTCATCAAGATAACATTTAGATTATAAGAAAAAGTAAAAAAGCAAAATATCTTAAATTATAAGTTAATATGTACCAGGTGAGAAAAAATCTCATGACCGGCAGCCGGTCATGCCGTTCTGAGGATTAAAAAAGTTGAGTGATTGTGTGTTTTGGTGCTACGGTTACAAAACTTAACGGTTTCGCAGTGGTTTAGAAGGTGAAAATAAAGTTATTTGATAGACGGAAAAACGTATTTGATTTTGAAGAGGAACTAAGCATTTATTATGAGGAGATACAAAAACAAATGCTGTATAATATTTCAGCCGTAATAAAAGTTTAACGAGATGATGTTTAAAAATCTCGAAAATACTATATAATAATTTCATGTTTTTAGTTGCCATATCGAAGAAATTTAATAAGAAATTTCAAGAGTTAAGAAATATTATTCAAGAATTACCTGTTGCTAATAGAAAATAATTGTATTGCAGAAACAGCAGTTATTACAAAACTATTTGCATTGAGATATGATTGTGAAAAGATGTTTGATGAATTCATTGAACTGAAAACTAATACGAATTTGAACGTTATTTTAAAGAAAATAGAGAAGAAGCGGAGCATTCCAAATTGTGGAAGTTCCTGCCTGAAAAGTACAAGACTATGCATAAAGATGTTTGATGAATTCATTGAACTGAAAACTAATACGAATTTGAACGTTATTTTAAAGAAAATAGAGAAGAAGCGGAGCATTCCAAATTGTGGAAGTTCCTGCCTGAAAAGTACAAGACTATGCATAAGCATGCTCAAATGTCGCTAAAAGGTTTTGGATTAAAATAGTTTGGTGAATTATCTTATTCTAGAATGAAATATGCACAAAGATTATTTAGAAATAGACACACTGATCCTTTCGATGCAGATACATTTAGCAGTTTAAAGTCTGATTTATAAAAAAATAGCAAAATTTGTCGCAAAGTCAAAATTTTCATCCATTTTAGGTAAATATTTTAACAAATTAAGATTTATGTTTTGATTTTTATGTTATTAAATTATGAAGTATTTTACACTTGATACGTGTAACGCAACAAATATATGTTATATGACAGGAAATAAAAAAAGTCTAAATATGGAAAAATTACAAATAAATAAATAAATATAAATAAAATATCTGCTTAGTTGCAACATTTTATGTAATTCCTTTTATCCAGTCAGATTACAATTTTCAGTTGGCAGCTGCAATCGAAGACTCGTATAAGATCTTTGCTACGTATTGGCTGAAAAGGTTTCTTAATCATTCCATTCTCTATCCTGCTTTTGACTCGTTAAGCTACTTGCAAAAGAATGCTACGGACAACATTTTGATCCTCAGAGTGAAATGTTGCAGCTGAAAATCTAATTCTCAAACTAGCTTACTAACCGCATATGCCTAAACAAAACTGTTTGTTTCTGGTCTTCTGCTGTCAAATAGGGATTTAATATATATAGAGCTGAGCTTTAAAACAATTAATAGGATAATTTATCATTTATTCCTTAATTTTATGTTAAAAACACATTTAGTTAATTTTATCTCAAAATAAAATTTTAATTAGTTTTATCGCAAAATATTACATTCCGACCATAAGCTTTCTCATAGAATATGTTCAAGTTTATGAGAACGTCTTAAATGCAAACCCTTCTTTTTTCTTTGTAAACAACCTTCATAAATGAAAGTTGTCTTATACATGGGCCAATACGGTAACTAAAAGCATATTTGTTACAAAAACTTAAGCCTTTTTATTACAAAATTATAATTTCTCATAACATTTATATTTTATTTGAATTTGCAGAAAAATAATGCAAATTTAGCAACCAATTCTAGTTTATTGTTTTACATTGACCGTTTAAATAAAATTTATGATTACGAATCAAACAATGACTCATAAATATATCATAGCGCATTGCGCTTGTGCTACAATATATGCATAATCACTATGCCATCCATTTCTGAATCTCCGAACAATATTTCCAGTGTGCTAACAGTAAATCTAATTGGCAGTTTATTCAGCAGTGCGCATACATCCATTTAAATATATTCTCCATTAATCAATCTTTTCCACCAGCTATTTGTTGCCTTTCCTATTCACGACACGTGAACCATGTTCACGACAGGTTTGTATGAGATAAAGTTGCTTCTGTATGGAAAATCAATCTAAAATATCAGATTCACACCAGTCAGTAGCATATTCAACTAATACCTTTTCCATAATGAAATGAATCAATACTCCTGTGTCATAAAGTTATGTGTTTGAAACGTGACTCACATGTTGAATTCTCTCTCCATTCACAGATATTTGCTTGGCAGAGGATACTATGTCCAACAAAGACAGTCCTTTATGTTTGGTCGCAACATAACACTGTGCAAGATCCCGCTTTTCAGGCAAGTCAACGGTATCTGAGTTTATTGTTACAAGACATATATATACACACACACACAAGGGTGGGACGAAGACATCCGGAAATTGCAATATAAAGGAAAGGATGCCACATCCGGGACGTTGTTAGCACTTGCCGGATGTCACGAAAACTGATTCTTTTTTATTTTCACTTTTTTCCACCAGCAAAAAGCAAAACATAATTGCTACTGCAAAACGTAAGATTTTTATGTATATGAAGTATCCTGTTGCGGACCACATTTTGGCGCTTTTTATATATATGCCTGTTCCACAGCTGGTGTCTGGTGGTACTGTCTGTACTCGGAGTAATGGGTGCTGGTACTGGTGTTATCATGGGTGCTGGTGGCCTGCGGGTGCACTTTTATCCGGCTGTTGTTAGTTGTCGCAGCAGCTGTGACGTTTGTCTGGTTCCGAAGATCTGGTTCCAGTACACTAGAATCCAAACTTCCGAAACTTATACCATCCCTATTGTCATTTCTGTCTGCCTGCAAATAATAATCAAAGCTCAGATACGGTACATTAATATAATGTACTATATATGCAATATAAATATTACATGCTTATTATTAGTTTTTATATATAAAACAATTTTTAGCTTTTATATTAAGAACTGGAAAGAATGGCGACATATTATGTAATTTAAATTATGAAGAAAAAAGGTTATTCATTTCCTGATTCATGGGTTAAAATAAAAATAATCATAGCTATAATAGTGGAACCTATGGCAAACGCATTTTAGATGGCGTGGAAACGAAATTTTTTGCACAAAAGCGTATATGATATATGGTGCCAGACATAATTTTCATTAACTATACTTACAGAGCAAATATTTATAAGAATTATTTATCAGTTGTTTGTAAATTATATGACTAGCACATACGCACATTAGATTTCAAAAACTATCAAATACATATCATACATATTTAACATTACATGCTATTAAATATATTAAATACAGATCACCACATATAGATAAGTACGTATATTGCTTTTATCATTCCGTTAAGAAACACAGAGTTTTGAACTGAAATATCAGATAAAGAACTAACGGCACTTTGAATAACAATATTCCCAAGGAACGGCAATTTACCTCAATGGATGATAAATAGCTTGGTAACGTTACATAAAATGAACAGGAAAATGGGAAAATTTTAAGTGTTTCTAAGATTTAAAATGTAAACTACATATACATGACGGAATCTTCAGATTATTCCCATTTTACAAATAACCTTACACCAAATCTGTTGTTTTCTTTGCGTATAAAAGCCCACCAGCGGCCGAGTGGTAAAGCCGCTGGCGGTTTCCCTTAGAACGCCTTCTACTAAGGCATCCCTCTCTTTAGACAGATAGACATCGATTATTTTCCATAACCAAATAAACCAAATCAAACCAATTCTTTGTGAGCTCGGCTTCTTAAGAAAATCCTCCACGAAGGTATTCTTTCGTTGACGGATAACTCTCGTATACCTTGCTTTAATTAAAATCAGCGAGTCAATCAATGGAGGTTCAAGAACTCAAGAAATGGTATCTGTTAATTCATGAAGTAAATCTGAAAAATATTAAATGCGAAAATATTCGAAATTCGACAATATTTTTTTAATTGCATGACGAAAATTGAGATGCTTCAGTTATGCTAGTAATTATGGTAATTATTTAAAAACAATACCATCCTTCTCAAGCGTATTAAAAAGCAAATGCAAGAATTCAAGTATTTATTAATAAATAATCATTAATTTTTATACGCTTTTTAATAAATTTTGGGCCAAACTTGTCTAAATACGAAAAAAAAGCAACGTTTTTCCAAATGACGATCTTTTTATTTTTGCTTTTGCAACAAACTCTTTTCTTTTTACTTCCTTGTACGAAGTAAAAAGAAAGTATTGTAATCGCGAAAAGTTTCAGGCAGCATATTTCAACAAAAATATCCATTTTGACCGCTATCGAATGCAATTTAACGATGTTTTTGTATGATATATGTATGTAAGGACAGAATAAAATACTCTTTTCCTTCAAAAAAATTATAAAACTGTTTTTAAATTAATTCTGAAGAGAATTTGTCGTGGCGTCCGTACGAACGTATGTACGTACGTATGTACGTATCTCACATAACTCAAAAACGAGTAGCCTCAGAACGTTGAAATTTTGTATATAGGACTGCTATAACATGTGGATGTCCACCTCATATTTTGGTTACAAACGGCAGCACCAAACGTATATAAATATATTTATATATATATCCACTCTGTTACCCGGCTCAGTGATCTCAGTTTTACTCGTATATGTTTGTAAATTGTACATTTTTTGCTTTAAAAATGATTGAATTATGTTGTTTTTATCTTCCGGTTAAGGTTTTTATGCCTTTAGTAAATCTGTGTGCAATAGTTTTAGAATTATCAACAATTTTAAAGTTGTTTAATGCCGCTAAACCTTTTTTTTTTACGGCGGTCATTGATTGTTTGCATTTGAAACAGCAGACTAATGGATTTGTTGCCAATCTAGAGAAACTAAGCTTTGCAACAACAAACATAACGCCTTCATTTATTATTGCCAATTAAATCATGCTTAATCCTTTCTGGAATTTTTTCGAGGAAATAAGTGTTTAAGATTTACTTTCGTAATTTCTTAATATAGATATTTAGAGTTTTTATGTATTTTTTTGCCTTCTCGCGAAGTGAGAACTGAAATTAATTGAATGAGAAATACTCAATCATCTGTGAAAAAACTGTTTCTTTTTTTTTTTTTTTTAGTTGTTGTTGTTTTGTTTTGTTTTGCTTGCTTAATTTCTCTTATACATCATTCTAGCTTTATTATAGTATTTGAATAGAGCATGTGGCAACGATTAGATAATTCTATTCTTTAAATGATATAAATTTTGTGCATTAGGAGTTATAATATGAACGAAATATAATACTCTTAAGTGAATCTAGGGCCAAAGTGTCGCTATGGTAAACAAATACTAGAGTGAATTTTAATGAATGCATTTATTCTATTGTGGTTTATGCGCTGTCGGCGAAGTATATTTAATTCAATCCAATAAGTTTAAATGAAATGCAAGAAAAAATGCATATAATTTAATATTCCGTACAAGGAAGTCATGTGGTGTACACATCAGATTTTTTTTTTAAATAGGATGCCATCTTTATTTTTATTTTATTTATTTATTTTTTTTGAAAAGCGAAATGAAATAACAATAAAAACAAGCTCTTTAATTAAATAAATATTGCTATAGCAAGAGAGTTTTTCAGTAACCAAGCATTTGTTGAGCCATTTAGCATGTCATGTTTTTGCAGGTGTTAACATAAGGTGCATAAAAAGGAAAATGAACTTTTTAAATAAAGCACAAAATCTCGTTTATTGGTCTAAAAATTCAACGTTGCATTTAAAATATGCTTCGTTTGCACCAACAGAATGCTGGACACGATTAAAAAATGTATAGATACACAGATTTCGATAGATTAGTCTCTAGAGTGAACTTAATGACTTTCATTACGGTAAAATGAATGACCTTCAACATCAATGTGCATTTTGTATACTTGTTTCATCAACATCTCATTTTCATAAAGTCAAAGCAACTGGTTGCATGGAGACAAATCCAAAGAATGCAAGTGTTTGGGGATCTTAATTCATAGAAATTTCTTTCTTCTCCTTTTTCTTTTAGTTTCTGTTCATTTCTTGTAAGATTTTGTGAGGAGGATAATTTTTTTTCGGGGGGGGGAACTTTCTGGCTCTCGGAATTAAAATGGAATTCTAACAATTCTCCTCCACAAACTCTCCATATAATTCTTCCAGTTTACATATGAACCTTCTAGACCAAATTCGACATGAATAGCTTTTGAATCCTAAAAGTAAATTAACATTGTCTTCACTTGAGACCTCTAGAAAGGCAAAGTTTTGTTTCTGATAGTTCCGGAAGTTTTCATAATGCATTCTGGTGCTTGGTTCCCTGCTTATTCTGAGAAACTTCCGTCTCTTTTTAATAGTAACATAACCTAATGATTTCAATGCTTGTTTGGGCACTTTCATAAAGTCTTTACATCATTTAATTCATATATTTTCTTGACCTTCTGTTAGTTTGGAGAAACAGATTTTTCTTTACATTCATTTTTTTTTTTTATTTTTAAAGGCATAACTGAATCTCTGGATTCGTGAAATTCTTCAGCAGCCATTCTGCACGAAGTCTCGGATTGACAGCATCACTTCTGTATAGCTTTCGATACACATTTATGGTCACAGCATTTAGACAATCTACTCTAAACCATCATTAATGTCATCGATCATGTCTTTCAAATGTTACGTGATAGATAACAGTAGACAAACCTTGCCTTAAAGTTTGCTTTAAACTTGCCTTAAGCAGTATAAGTGCTCCAAATAAATCTCCCCGAGTTTAAAGTAGTTTGCAGAAAATATTTACTGTATGATTTTCAATGTTTTAACACGGAAGGCTTTCATATATATTTGGATATATGTTATAATTTAGGGATATATGATACTCTTAGCTTTTAGAGTACTGAATAATGTCGATTTCTCTTCAGGGAGGCCTTATTTTTTATGTTTTTCTTGGTAATTTATTATTATGTGCTTGTTATTTATCATATAGTCATATGTATCAATTACCACGAGTTAATAAATTACTACATATTGGAAATTTATTTAGAACTAGTAAGCTCATTATCTAATGAATCGATTATCTAATGAATCAGCGATTATCTAATGAATCGAATAAGCGCTTGAAACTCGCTACGTTATGAAATTATAGGAATGAGAATGGTAGAACTGATGCATAGAGAATAAATACAACGTTTAAGTTGTATATACATTTTGAGACTTAAAGATAAGACTAAACTAAGAATAATTAAGTTAAATAATAAATGAATAATATCAATTAAAGATTTAACCAAGGAAACAATCAGCTGCAAATTTGACAAAATAAATCAACTCGTAAATTAATCAGAAACTTTACATAATGGTTCGAGTAAAAGCATTGATAAACGTTAATAAATACTGATCAGCTGAGTGCATCCATGCCACATTTTTTTTTCTCTTCACATTTTTTAATATAAGATATTCATATCTAGGATGCGGCAGAATTCATAGCATATCAATAAAAATCATTCCAGAAGAGAAAGGCTGTTTCTATTATTTTTTATTCTCATTGCCAAATAGCAGATATAAAATGGCCTTTAACATTCCTGCGACCTCGTCGTATGACATATTCTTCTAAAGGGTTTAGGAAGCGCCCCATCACTTGTAATGGTGACTGATGGTAACATCAGTTTTATACGTCCTTATGTTTAAATATTGAGACTCAGTGTGTTCGGGAAATTTATTGCTTAAGATACTCACATAACAAGAAACATCACTCGTTAAACCAGGGAACAGGGGCAGCCAAAGAATATCACCATAATGAGAAACTGATCTCTACCTGAAAGCCTGCAGTAAAAAACTCATGTATAGTCTAGCTGTGAGCGCGCTTATCTGGTATAAT